CCCCTCCCCACCCCCCCACTCCCACCAGCATTCCTCTACACCCACACTCCTACAAGCACCTACCCCACCCCACACTCCCACCAGCACCTCCTGCACCTCCCCACTCCCACCAGCACCCCTCTACACCCACACTCCTACAAGCATCTACCCCACCCCCACACTCCCAGCAGCACCTCCCCCACCCCCCAACTCCCACCAGCACCTCTGCCAACTACGCCCCCACATTCCCACCAGTATCTACCCCACCCCCAACCCCTCCACTCCCACCAGCACCCCTCTACACCCACACTCCTACAAGCACCTACCCCACCCCCACACTCCCACCAGCACCTCTCCTACCTTCGTACTCCCAGTACCCATGAGCACAAGAGTAATTATTAATCAAGGAATGCTGTAGATGTGAGTTCAGTTTACTGAACAGATTTACAGATGCCATTGGGAATACATCAGCAAAGATGTTTAGGATGGAACTGGCACACTGTGCCTTGAACCACATACAGCAGTAGAGAGGAGGGAAGCACCGATGAGTGTCACTCTGCATCTTTGGAAGAGGAGGAGGGAGAAGAGAAGAGGCAAGAAGAGGAAGTATCGATGTGGTCCGAATGTCTGCAACTGTTCCCTTAGCTGCCAGGCTTACCCAGGATGGGCTCAATTTGGGTACACTTCACCTAATCTGTGGCAGTGCAGCCATTTGGCACCTAATGTGTGTACCAACCAAGCGCTACCCAGACTTGAGCACCATGCAGCCATAACACCAGGTCCAATGATGCATCACAAAGCATGGATTAGCCTTTCTTGGTGAGTCTCCATCACTCCAGTAGTAGTGGCTGTCTTGCCTGTTGTACAATAGTTCCATTCTGAAAGGGTCCCTTTAAATACAATACTTCAACAATCAGAAGTTGGTCAGAATCATGTCCGCCCACTCTAATTGGTCAAGCAACCCAAAATTAGAACGATTTTGCCGTGGTGCAAGTGAGACACCTGGAAAATTCTGCTAATCCGACTTCTGGATCCTAACATGTTGCTGGCCCCACTCACTTCGAATGGACCCCAACTTGAACATTTTCCCACAGGTGTGGTGCCTTTATTAAAGCTATCAGTGAATGGGCTGCTGTCTTCTGCCATGGGCTTCTCATTCCTGGGATTTCTTATCTCTGCTGCTCCTCCTCTTCCACTATTATGCAGAACCCACTGGGTTGCAAAGTCCATCTGAAATAAAAACAGAGGCTGCTGGAGAAATTCAGCAGGCCTGGCATGGTCTGAAGAGAGATAAACAGAGTTAATGTTTCGAGTTCAATATGATTCTTCTTCAGAATGTCCACTCCATCTGAATCCAAAACCGTTCAGGTACATTGAGGCTCACAACACTTCGAGGCAGTCAGTATAACTTCAGTGACTCCATTTCAAAATGAATGCCTTTGGTGGTGTAACCCTTTGGTGGCCGGAAGGTGCCCTGAGGTTGTGAAAGGTGCTGCATAAATGAAAGACTATTACCTGAAGACCAAGGATCCTCCCTTAGCCAACACTCTACAATAGAACAATTTGGTCATTCATTTGTGGAATCTTGCTATGTGCTATTTTTTTCAGATTGTGAAGAAAATTTCTGATAAACCTCAAATCTCAGATGATTTTTGATGCAAATTTATGCCTGTGCATTCTTAGCCTAAGTGCAGGGAACTTACATTTTGCATCATTGGTGAAGTTAAGTGACAGTAGAAGAGGCTTCCAGAAGAGGTATCTTGGAAGCAAAAGATATTCACAAGAATCAAAATATCTCAGCGTAAACCTGGTGTATGTTAATAACATGCTAATTTCCTCTGGTAGAAAGATGCAATTCTTGAGCTGTGCCATTATAACTGGCCCCCTTTGAACCTGTTTCTTCGTGAAAGTGCAAGCAGATTAAATTATCATGGGAGGGGAGTGGAAGAACGATAAAGAATGTTGATTTTTTTTTTACATGAAAATCTCTCTAATGCGAGTAGTTATTTCAAAACACAGGCATGAGCAATTGGACACAGCTTCCATTAAAAGCTGCTGCCATCCTTTGGAAATTAACCTTATTTCACTTTAGTAAGCAGAGCAGTAATGGTGTCTTCTTCCAGATAAATAGTCATATTAAAAGAGCAATAAACTATTGAAATTATTCCTTGTTTGAAAGGCCGTACATTTGATAAGTGAAATATATGGGTAATAATGTCACCAATTATCTTGTCCAATACAAATTCCTTTTTCATATTGACCAGCCAGTGGTCGTGCTGTTTTAATGGACAGTACTTAATAAAATGACATCTGATGTGAGATTTATCAGAATTTGGTATTTTGTCAAATTTATGATATATAATTATCCCTCTGAGAGTTTTCTTCATTTAATATCATGTAATCTCTTTTAAAACCAACTACACCAGTCTCTTAAAACCATCAGTAATCAAACTGACATATTATTATGATAAAATTTTGGGTTTATCTTGTTGGTTAAATTTACAGAGAGCATGCCAGATTTTTCTTTAGTCCCCGTTTCTCATTTCCTGGATTATTATGAAAAAAATATCCTGATCATATGAGTAGGTGTATTCCGGCCTCATTTCAGTACTCAGGCACCATTGAAGTTCTCTGGGGATGCTGTTGCTTAAAATATTCTTTTTTAGATGAGAAGTTAAACTTGTTTCGGTGGATGTTCATGTGGGCCAGAAAGGAGCAGATGCCAGGGTGGCACAGTGGCTCAGTGGTTAGCACTGCTGCCTCACAGAGCCAGGGACCTGGGTTCAATTCTAGCCTCAGGCAACTGTCTGTGTGGAGTTTGGACATTCTCCCCATGTCTGCATGGGGTGCCTCTGGGTGCTCCAGTTTCCTCCCACAGTCCAAAGATGTGTAGGCTAGATGGATTGGCCATGTTAAATTGCCTATAGTGCCCAGGCATGTTTTGGTTAGGTGGGTCAGACCTAATACAGGGGAATGGGGCTGCGTGGGATGCTCTTCAGAGGGGCGGTGTTGACTTGTTTGGCCAAATGGTCTGTTTCCACACTGTAGGGATTCTATGAAAAGATCCCAAGGTATTCCTTTGAAGAAGTGCAGCTGAGTTCTTCCTGGTGTCTGAGTTAATGTTTATCCCCTCAACTAATAACACATAAGATAAACTAACATAATCTAGTCATTAGTGTATTTCTAATTGGGAGAGCTTGCCAGGCAGAAATTGACAGACACTTCTCTACATAACTTCAGTGACTACCTTCAAAATGAACGCCTTTGGTGGTATAACTCTTTGGTGGGGTAGGAGGTGCCCTGAGGTTGTGAAAGGTGTTGCATAAATCAAAGACTATCATCTGAAGAGCAAGGATGCTCCCTAGGGCAACACTGTACAACAGAACGATTTGGTCATTCATTCATTTGTGGCATGTTGCTATGTGCAAGTTGGCAACTGACTTTGCTTTCAAGCCAGTGTTGATAGTTACAGTGGTGGCTAATTTGGTATAACATACCCCTCAGCGTGCATCCTTAGTCTTCAGCACCTGTCCATGCTGTCCTGGGGTTTCTTGGTCTTTAGGTAGAACATAGCAGAATGGGCACAGACCTTCCCCTATCAGAGGTTGGGAAGATAGAAGGTGGGGCAATCACAGTCAATCATCTCATGACCTGCTAGCCTAGTGGGCTGGTTACATCAGGTAAATGGCACCTAAAGCTCATTGTGCTGTGGTTTTACCCATCCCATTTCTAACCATATGGCAATCACTCCAGATATGTAAATCACCCAGTATTAGAAATTCTGATGCCCCTGGAACTGGACAGGAGCATTACAGTGAGGGTATGCCAGGAACAGAGATGGGAGTAGGGTCAAGAAAACTGCTCGATGCAGTTAGCTTGATACATACATATTGCCTAACTATTTTCATACTCTCTAATAATGTTGCATTCCTGTTGTTTAATTATCCCTGATTATCCTCTTGTACACAGAAACCAGTGTAGAAAATGGGAAACGCAAGCGGGAGAAGGCCATTCAGCCCCTTGCTGCTCTGCTATTCAACTCAATCAGGACTGACCTTCAACTTCAACATCAATTTCCCATAATATCCCCAAATGTACAAATCTATCAATTTCTGACTTGATTATACCCAATGACTGATCCTCCATGGCCCTTTAGGACAGAGTATTCCAAAGATTCACCACCCGCTGAGTGAGGAAGTTCTTCCTCATCTCAGTCCTGAATGGTAAAGCATTTGTTTTGAGAATGTGCCCCCTCGTTCTAGACCCTCTCATAGCGGAAACATCCTTCATGCATCTACACTTTTAATGAGATATAAAGATATATAAGTTTTGCCTTTGTTTATATATAAAACTTTAAGTAAAACATTATAAAACATGTCCTGACACTGACTGATACAATCCTAGTTCCAAATCAACATCAAGGTTACTCTGTCACTCTGTCTCGGTTTCCAGGTCGCTGTGACTGATAGTCATATGATAGCTATTGCTGTGGAGAGAGCAGTGTACACATGGGGAAGCAATACGAAAGGCCAGCTCGGTCACGGGGACTTGCAATCACGTTCAAGACCTCAGCTGGTGGAAGCGCTCAAAGGAAAGTTTATTGTCAGGTAATAAAGTTTATGAGTTCACGGGTCAGAGCCTCTGGGCCAATGCAGCTTATGAAGAGAAAGGACATAAATAGTAGATTTATCTTCCTGATAGTTAGGTATTAGCCAACAATTCGACTCTATGATTTTTCAGCTGAATGTTTATTCATTTGTCAGGATATCTCCAATTATTCTCACAAGGCAGAAACAGCTATAGAAGGCTAAACTTTTCCCAGACTTCACCTGATGAAGGAGCAGCACTCCGAAATGTTGTGATTTCAAATAAACCTGTTGGACTATAACCTGGCGTCGTGTGACTTCTGATATTGTCCACCCCAGTCCAACACCGGCACCTCCATATCATTTTCCCAGCCTTGTTGCGTTAGGGAATTCAACATAAAAACACAAAGTGAAAAAGCAAAATGGGAATAACTTGCTCAATAAATACTTGTTTGGAGATTTGTTTGATGCCTGTTTACAGTTGAATCTGAGAATTAATCATCATAACAGACATGTATTTTTTACTTTATGGAGTCCATTTCTGGGCTTTAAGGATGCACTTTACAAACTATTTGAAGACTAGCTGGGAGGTCTGCGAGGTGGTAACCAACACAGAGAATGCTGGTGAATTTCAGCAGATCTGGCAGCTTCGGTGCAAAAAACAGAGTTAACATTTTGATCCGGGTCTGACTCTTCACAGAATCCCTACAGTGTGGGAACAGGGCCTTCAGCCCAACAAGTCCACGCTGACCCTCAGAGCGTCCCACCCAGACCCATCCCCCTAATCTACACATCCCTGAACACTAGCAGCAATTTAGCACGGCCAATCCACCTAGCCTGCACATATTTAGACTGTGGGAGGAAATCGGAGCATCTGCAGGCATTTGAGAGTTATTTAGCATTATTTGAGAGTTGGTAAGCTGGCAGCATAAAGCTTTGCAAGGATTCAGCCTGCCAATGACCAGCAGTGGGTAGCCAATTAAGTTAATCAACTGAGATATTTAGAGGATTGAGATCACTAGAACTGAATAGCATGCAAAATGTAATGTATTTGTAGAATCATAGAATCCCTGCAGTGCAGATAGAGGCCATTCAGCCCATCAAGTTTTCACTAACCCTCTGAAAAGCATCCAACCCAAACCCACCTATCCCTGTAACCCCACAGTCACGATGGCTAATCCACTTTGGACTGTGGGGGGAAACCAGAGCACCCAACAGAAACCCTCACAGACACAGGGAGAACGTGTAAACTCCATACAGACAGTTGCCAATGGCTAGAATTGAACCAGGGTTCCTGGTGCTCTGAGGCAGCAGGACTAACCACTGAGCCACCATCCCACCCCATAACTAAATGTGGCTAATAATCGTATTTTGTGGCTCATGCTTGTGACTAAATGATTTGTTTTTAAATAAATTTTGGCCAAGGTAACAGAGATAATTCCACCTTCTTCAAATTGTGACATGTATCTATAACATTCGCCTGTGATGGGCAGACTGAGCCTCGGTTTAACATCTCGTCTGAAAGACACCACTTTTGACAGTGCAGGACAGCCTCACACCTGCACTGAATATTCGGCCGAGTTTAATGTGCTCACAAACCATAGTGGGACTTCATGCCTCAACTTTCAGATTCAGGGGAAAGAGTGCTACCAATTGAGCTGCAGCAGGGAACACAATTGGCCTCTGATGATGTACCACCCACAGAAAGTTTCTACCTCACCCTACCTCGACAATAATAAAACTTTGGGCTCCTCCCTAACCCTCACAATGTGCTTCTTTTCAGGGCCTGTTGTGGTGATGGATTCAGTGTGTTTCTCAGTGATAATGGAATTGTAATGACTTCTGGAGATGGAACCCAAGGCTGCCTTGGGCACGGGGACCGCTTTAGTATCTCCAGGCCTTGTTTGATTGAAGCTCTACTCAGTGTCAATGTTCGGATCATTGCGTGTGGCCTGCAACATGTGTTGTGTGTCACTGGTGAAGGTAAGGTGAGTAATATGTTTTTAAAGTTTGCAAATGTCTGTACGGTTATGTCTAGTCAGAGGTAGCCTTGTTTGCTCATAGCATGAGCCAAATGTCTCTGCTGGTCTTAGCTGAGGAGATACAGCTGCAGTAAAAAGATTTTGTGGTATTGAAGTCAGAAGTCACATGACACCAGGTCCAACAGATTTATTTAAAATCACAAGCTTTCAGAGCGCTTTCCTTCATCAGGTCACCTGCTGAAGGAGCAGTGCTCCAAAGGCGTGTGATCTTAAATAAACCTGTTGAACTATAAACTGGTGTTGTGTGACTTCTGACCTTGTACATCCCAGTCCAACACCGGCATCCCCACATCTTGGTGTTAAAGAAGTAGAGCTAGTGTCTGGGATGTACAGATTACTGACAGAGTGGGAGCAAGCCATAGAGAGATGTGAAAATGAGACTGAATACTTTGAAGTTACAGCAATTTAGGTGATGGTGTCAATTGGAAACATAAGTTATGTATAGCAAAACACTTGGAACTGCTATATGTCATATTGTTCAAATTTGTTTGGTGTTCATTGCCTAACACCTGTACAGAAACTCAAAAGTTGAAGTGCATTATGGTTACAACCAGGCACTTAAACCACAATGTCAGCTGCCGAGCATATGTTGAGAGCACTGAAGCAAAGTTTGAGGAGTCTGGATTGATCTGGTACTGCTTTGTTATGTGACCTGTGCTCCCCATGCCACTCCTCCCCCCCCACGCCCCCCAAGTAAAGGTGGACAGAATCTTTTGCAGCTCACTGTATGTTGCATATTTGGATGAAACAGAAAGAACCAAAACAATAGTTTGATGAGGAACATATGCCTGGATTGGAAGAGATATTTCACGAGTGGTAGAGGTGGAGTCATAAGGTACTATGACTGAAAAGATGGACATACTGATGATTGCAAATCACTTCATATGAACAATTCAAAGAACTTCTATTTAATTGCCATGTTCTCTGTTATATGAAAGTAGTTAATATCCCATGGTGTTGTTAAAGGTGGGTAAGCTGCTTTGTTACCCTAGAACCTTTACCCCTAATAATTCACCATTGCGCTGCTATGAGGCATCTGTGTTTAATGTTGTCTGGCCCCTTTAACACCATAATTCCTATTTGCTTTGACTGGCTTTCACCTGGCTTCTTGACAGGAGTTACAAGTAAGTGGGAATTCAGGCATGGTGCTCAAGATTTTCTGTCCATTAATTTTAACTTCTGAATGTGAATTCCTAATTTATGTTTCCTTGTACATCAGGAGTGCTAGATCGTAAAATTTTCCCCATAATTTTCAGCTCACTATTATTCATCATTGGGATTACTGATGCCATTATACACCTGGATGAGTTTCAATTCTCTGCTAGTACAATTTATTCTGTTCACTGCAATTGTTAGTTTCCTCATGTGGGAAATAATGGGTAGATTTATTTCCACCTGTGAACAACCCATCCAGCGTCTTCACATTTGTAAAGTTATGTACTTTATATTCATTATTTTTGTGATTCTGTCTCAAGTGCTTTATGAAAAAATGCTAAAATTATCTTCTAAATTCTAAGTGGTTGGAGCTGGTTGTTTTCACATAAGTCCAACTTGATCAGCTTTCAGGTTTAAGGTGATTATAGAGTGTCCATTGAACCATCAATGTTTGGTAATTCTCCTCCTACAACTCTTCTGGAAAAGAATTGAAAAGGTTTGTGAGGATGAGCAGAGTAAGATTATTTCCACTGGTGAGTGAGTTGTTACCAAGGGCCATAAATTTAGAGGTAGTGCTAAAACCATAAAGATGGTAAATCAGAAATTTTTGCACATAAAACATTATTGCAATATGGAATGTATTACTGCAAATGGATATAGTTCCCTGTAGCCATAAGGACATTGAAGACATCACTTTCTGACTATTTTCTGGTGGCAGGGATTTAGCACATCATCAGTCCAGCACCCATCAAAAAACCTGAGAAATGTATTAGAAAGGATGAAGGAAAACCTATTATGAATACTGCTCCAATGCCAAGTGTGAACAATGGGCAGAATGCTATTTCTGCTGAATTATCTGTTGTTCCATAAAAAGCAGGCAAATTTATATCTTGCTTAGGTTCAGTAAAACTGAAGTATGAACCAAACTTCTCCTACACTCGCACACCCCCAACAAAGCTTTCTGGATTTGGCTAGTCTGAGCATCACAGTTAATTGACTCACTACAGGTTAACTGAATTGGACTGAGTTCAACAAGTTTTCAGCTCTGGAAGTATCTTTTGTTTTAATTGAAGTGATGGAGAATGAGCTGGGGTTCTTTCATCTCCTTCTAGGTGTTTGCATGGGGCAATGGAAAATATGGTAAACTGGGACTTGGGAATGATAATGACCACTGCTCACCAATGGAGGTATCGTTTGAGAAGCAGATCTTTGTAAGGGATGTAAAGTGTGGAGTGGACGGTACCATGCTCTTAACAGGTATACATCTGATTTTCTATTATACTTTAACTCCTTAGAAACAGTCAAACTAATTGAGTTTTGCTATAGCTGATACTGTACAGTAATCAGTTAACTTAGTATTGAAATCAAAACACCACTTAAAAATTCAGTCCTGTTTAAAGTGATTATTATCATCATTTCCTCAGTGAAAAGAATGTTAACATAATGATTATGTAACTGCTGTAGTAATGACCCAGAGACATGACTTAAATTCCATTGTTGCAATTTGGAAATTTAAATTCAAATAATTAAATAAACCTGGTCATAAAAGCAGCATCAGTAATTGAAACAGTAAAATTACTGAGTGTTCATAAAACTCCATCTGATTTCTTTTAGACAAGGAATGGGTGACCTGATAGAGGTTTATAAAATCATGACGGGCAAAGATAAGGTGAAAAGGAAAGGTCTTTTCCCTAGGGTAGGGAAGTTTAAAGTACAGGGCATAATTTTAAGGTGAGAGGAGAAAGATTTAAAAGGGACCTGAGGGGCAACTTTTTCACACAGAGGCTGGTTCATATGTAGAATGAACTGCCAGAGAAAGTGATAGATGTTGGTACAGTTATATTTAAAAGACATTTAGACAGGTACAGGAATAGGAAAAGTTTAGAGGGATACGGGCCAAACACAGACAAATGGGATTAGTTCAGTTTGGTAACACTGATCGGCATGGATGAGTTGGACCGAAAGGTCTGTTTTCATGCCGTATGACTGTATGACTATGACTATGAAATCTGCTGTTCTTACTGGATCTGGTCTATGTGTTACTGTATATCCACAGCAATATAGCTGACTGCTAACTGATGATTATGTAAGATCACTTCAATTTTTAGGAGGGCTAGAGGAGCTCAGGAGCCACAAAGAAATAATCTATCAAACCACTCAGTTGTACTAAACCTACGATAAGAAAGTCTAATAATAAAAAAAAATCTGGAACAACTGCCTGGCATCAACCAGACATGACAAGGGAACACCCAGCCCAGTCACTCCTCCAATGTCCACTTCAGTATCTGCTGGGGACTTAGGACAAAATTGGAAGATTTGTCCCATTGGTGAGCCATGCAGCAACCTGCCACAGTCATACTCAAACCTTGCAGAGAATGTTCCAGATTCCTCCATTCACCTTCCCTAAGTGGATCTTGCCCAACCAACAGGATGAACACACACAAGGTGAAGGCTCTTGTGGCACACAGATAATGTCCCTGCCTCTGGACCAGAGATCTGGGTTCAAGACCTATCTTTACCAGGAACATCTCACAACATATCTGACCAGGTTGATTCAAAACACTTAAACACACAAGGTGGCAGCGGAGTGTTAAATGGTTGGGAGGAGAACCTTGGGAACCTTCAGCATTGTATTTGGGCTTCATGAAGTCTCATAACATGAGGTCAAATACAGGCAAGAAGATCATTTGCTGACTATAGCCTACTGTCTCCATCAGCAGAGGAATCAGTGCTTCTTTATATGCAAGGAAAATACATGGATGCTAGAAATGTGAAACGCACTATGCAGGAGAAACTCAGTGGGTCTGGCAGTATTTGTGGAGAGAAAGAAAGAGTAAATGTTTTGAGTCCAGTATGACTCTTCTTCAGGAGTTCAGAGTTTCTCCAGCAAGTTGGGAGTTTCTCCAGCGTTCTCTACGTTTGTTTCAATAGTCCTTCATACTGAATGCAACTTAGGTGTGGTATTTTCAGTCAGATGTGGTTTTTTTAATTGAAAATAGGCTACATTTATGTAAAGCAATTCCCATAATATTTTGTTGGTATCAAAAATGAAAACTTTCAACTATCTTCATGATGCATGGTGATGATTTCTTGTGGCCCACGGAATGATCTATTGCCTCATTGGTGAGTTTGCAAGTGGGAGGTGGGGGGCTTGTGCCTGTAAATTTCCTCATGAGGTTTTCCTACCGAGGTCGACCTGCCTAACTTCTTTGCAATTTTCTGGAGGAAGGACAAGGCCTATGCCAGCTGGCCCATCCTTGCTTCAGTTGAGGTCATTTCAGGGCTGTTCCCTGCCCTTATTGATTAGCAGATGGAGGGGAGATGTTCGGAGGCAGCGGCAGGCCCAGAGAGTGAGTTTACTCCTGCCTTAGCTGGGAAGGTGATGGGAATGGGCACCCCTTCCTCTTAACACATTAGGTGCCCCATCGCCTACCCCACACCACCCCTGCACCCTAAGGTAGGAAATCATAAACAACAAGAAAGTAATGAGCCCATATCTTGATCACTTTTCACTACATCAATACTTGTCTGTTAGTCATTTAGGGGTAGTGTTATAAAAACAATGGTATTATCTTTTATACAGATACATGCTTTTCTTCTGAAATTTTTATTTTGTGATCAATAGATACTGATAGCGTGCTGGCTTGTGGTAATAATCAGTACAATAAACTAGGTTTGAATGAGAGACGGGGCCTCCTCATGCAAATGACATTGCTGTTTGCCAGAGTGAGTATCCTTTAATCCTGTGTTTTTCACTTATTGATGTGATGGACAATTATCGTCTTAATTTTATACCTGGTCACCTATTTTAATACATGTAGATCTGAATTAAAACTTGTATATTTGATCAGATTTAACAGCTTTTAAAAGCAAAACACTATGATGCTAGAAATCTGAGCTAACAAAAATTTAAAATAAACACAGAGAATGCTGGGGAATCTCAGCAGGTCTGATGGCACCTACGGAGAGAGAGACAGAATTAACATTTCAAGTCCAGAATGACTGTTCTTCAGGACTGAGGTTCTAAATAATTCTGAAGATCTAAAAAGTTCTGAAGAAGAGTCATTCTGGTCTTGAATCCTTGTCTTAATCCCGTTTCTCTCTCTCCACAGAGGCTGTCAGACCTGCTGGGTTTCTTCAGCACTCTTTGTGTTTGTTTTTAATTTCTGTTAGCTCAGCTGTTGTGAATTCCCACATATTATCTGAAAGTTGTATTATACTCATAGGCTGCCATAGGATAAGGATGGAATTTCTTCGGAACAGTAGCTGACAGCAGGTTTTAAAATATATTTATGTGTTGTCTTGCTGTGGTACAGCAGGGTTGGATTCTCATGCTGGCTTCCTGACTTACTGATAAAACAAACATATGGAGCCAGTTCTTATAATACAAAACGATGTGCAATTCTTCTCGCGCCCAGCCTTTGGATTAGAAAGATTATAGCTGCAAAATAGGAGCAACAAAAATATTAAGTATATCAAAACATTACTGCGCTGCTTGCTGGTCAGTCACAGGGAGGGGTTTGAAGAGAGTCTGCTGACCCCGAGATGTAAAGGGAATCCAGGGGACGCCTGAACTTGCCTTGTGAGGTCTGAAGGAAATGTTCTGGTCCAAAAAGAAAGGCAAAAACATAAGGAGCATGGCAGACAGAAGCGTAAGCCGTGTTTCTGCATCCGTGAGGAAAAGTTGTGAATAAATCTTTCTAAAATTTGTGATAAGTGTCTCAGCCCTGCCAGACTCTTCCATGAGATGGAAAGAAGAATGTCTGTTGTACAGGCATCAATTGGTTAAAAAAAAAATCAATATTTGATTCTTTCCAAAATCATCTCGAACCAAAGGAGAAATGAGAAACATAACTGGCATAATATAAAAGGAAGTATAAGATTCTATAATAACATTAATTTGTCCTCAGTAAAACTAACAAGCGTCCTTTTATATATCAATCTCAATGGCAACAATAGTAATAAGAAAGAGCTCTGTATCTTTATATCTACCAATGTCCTGCAGTGCATATTGTCAATAAGGATATCAGGTACTGGAATGCATGGCTATGATTATAATCCAAGACAAACTTTGTTCAGCTGAGCATAAATCATTGGTAAGATCAAATTTGTAGTAATGTGTGAAATCCAGTGTACCCTGCATTAAAAGGACATTGATACATTGAAAGCACAAGTTTTGATGTTAAAACTCAAAACTTTCAAGCTATGATGATGAACCAGCAAAACATTTTCCCAGAGAAAAATGGAAAAGGAGGTTTTTTTTCTTAATTCTGCAAGAAAGTGTAAACAGGTTATTTAAGGGGTGACTGGAGAATGAGGTAGCATGAACAAGGAACTTATGTGAGAAAAGCATCTAGACTCAGCATATAGTTAAGGTATGGAATGCACAGCCTGGTGGAGGCAGAACCAATTGAGGCATTCAAGAGGCCATTAGATGATGACTTGGGATAGAAATAATATTCAAAGGTATGGAGAGAAAGCAGGAGATTGGTTACTGGACAATAATGCTCGTTTGAAGAGTTGGTGCAGTCACAGTAGGCCAAATGGCTTCCTCCTTCATTCTAACACTTCTTTAATTCTGATCAACAATAAAGATCAACATTGTTGTGTTTCCTACAGAATAGAAGGTGCATGGAAGAGACTCTCATCAAAAGCATTTGCTGTGTGAATATAGCCACAGTCGAGACATATTGTAGATCTATTTTTTACTCTGGGGGCAATGAGAGACTGTAGAAATGTTCCCTGCCTCACTTTAGTGGGCGAGATCTGACCCAATTAAGTGCCTCTCAGGTACTTAACAAACCATTCCCTAAAATCAAGGAACCTGGTGTCTAAAAACCTGCCCCACCGAGATGTAGTAGATAAAGAGAAGGTGACTCTATTGGTGTCAGCCCCATCTGGAGGCCATTAATCATCATGGGATTTTTGGAGGATGATGATTGGGACAGATTGAAAATCAAAAGGGATGGTGGGGTCACCAGTAGGGAGTCACCAATGTCTTTGAATGAGAGACCACCTTGAGTCTGGGCAGACTTCAGGAGGCATGGGAAACCTGTTTAAGTTTGGGACAATCCCTGAACCTTTGCAACGTTCTGACAGACTCTGGGATAATGACCTCTAAGTGAAGACTCAGACCTTAGCGATGAAACCTAACAGCAGACAGATTCCCATGACAGTCCATTTTTTGCTGCCGATTTTTAATGGAAGTCTCAGCTTTTCTGCTGGTGAGAATGGGATGCTTTGTATTAATGTTAGCCTGTCTGCTACCTAGCCACTCCAGCAAGCTATACTGAATCCAGGCCTTGTCAGATAACAGCAGCCATCACATAGGGGACAAGCAAGAGGTGTGAGAGAGGAGTTTTGGGCAGCAGGAGACCCCCACCAGATTCTGCAACTCTCAAGTCAGTGTTTGAGATCTGATGGGGCTGAGAAGCTGAGAGCTGGAGAGGCCTCAACATTCCTTGGAGTATCTGATTAAAATATAACTCTGGGCTCATATTCACCCTCTTCAGTTCCAAAAGAAAGGGTGAAACTGGTAACAGAAAATGCAGTTTGGGCTCATTTCTGACCAATGCCCCGGACACATTTGGCCTGACAGGAAGCTCACACTAGCTTTCCCTGTGCAGGTCTCTGGCTACTAAATGGGGTTCAAACCCCAAAATGCCATCAGGTCTTCATCCACAGGTTTAAAGGGGAACCTGTTTGCTCAAAGAACAAAAGTCAGAACCTGCAAGAGGAAGATCATATCGGATAAGTTCCATGGGTGGTTTTAATTGACTACCATTAGTTTGCAACGGACATCAGATACTGATAGTGGATGTTAGGGGGTTGTGGTGTTTGGACGCTACACTTAATGGAAAAGTAGGTTATAAAAGTTAACTCTGACTGATTGGTTATATGGGCTGCACAATGGGGAGAAACAAAGCATTTAATGGAATTCAAGGCCGTACCATATTAAGGCTACAAGCTGTGGTATCAAGGCAAAAAAATTCTAAAAGCTGCACCTTTTAATGTCACAGACTGATGTTGAAGAAAGGAAGCTTCCCACAGTCGTGAAAGCACTAAGGAACCACCGGGTGAGAGATGCTGTCCTGGGCCCCTCTCACAGCATTGTACTCGTGGAGCCTGGAAATATTTATACCTTTGGGAGGAATACAGAAGGACAGCTGGGGACTGGCAACACTAAACCTTACAAAATGCCAATGCATGTAAAACAACTCCAACATAGAACTATCACTGTGCGTAATATTTCAGACTATCAGTATACACTGCATAATTGCAACCATTGGTAATATAATTGCTTTTATCAATAAAATTAGAATAAAGGACAAGATCTTTAGTTGATATTTCAAAACCTTTCTGTTAACCCATAAATAGCAGCACCATGAGGCATCAGAATTAAGTATATTCAACTTGGTAAAATTTTTAAAATTTATTTACGAGTAAATCCACTCTGATTCTAATCAGCTGAAAATTACTTTGGGCATGATTTTCCCTTGTTTCTAAAATGTGATTAACATACCACCCTGCCCCACCATCGGAGAGATAACCCAGTGTAGCACTTGCTAATCAGCTTGTGAAGAGCTGACAGGTAGACAGAAGCAAGTAACTTAGGAGCAAGTATCTTATCTCCCTATCAAAGGCTTTGATATTGGCCCAGAAGGTGCCTGACAATCAGAAGCCAGCAGCGTCTAAAATCTGCCAGTACACCTCCATTGGTGAGAAACTAAGTCTTTATTTCTTTTTCTGAGGGGGTGAGAGTGCACAGGGAGAGGAGGGTTCACGGGGGGATCAGAGACAAGGGCATAGGGTTGTCTTTCAGAGACCAGCCTTTGCCCTCCACTCAGATCTTTGTTTGCCCCAGATTGGGGAAATCAGAGGCCTCATAAACAGCAGGCAGGTCGCCCCCCAGCTTCCCGGTTAGCCAGGGAGTCAGATGATTGGGAGGTGGCAAGTTGAGGTCCTTAGGTGGCCATTAATTGACCATTTAAGCTCTTTAATTGTTGGCAAGTTGAGAAAGTTGCTCATAGACCTTCTTGCCCAGCACTTAATTGCTGAGGTGGCGATAAGAGGTGAGATCCCCACCAGGGTAAACTCAGCCCATTATTTCACCATCTCACCACCTATCTCACCAGCTCAATGGAGAAGAAAATTCCACTCTATCTCTACACTGATGTTGTGACTGATCACATACATGACAAACTCTGTCCCAAAGGCAGACTCAGGACTGTCTCCTTGATTGATCTTCATATTCTTCTCAATCTTACTTCTTTATGATGTTTATCTCTCCTCCTTTACTCTGTTTCCTATACAATAGGTGAGTGGATTAAGGTACATTCTGTCCACAGTGTAAGGATTGTGTCAAGGTGATCTGTGGCATATGTGCTATACTCTGACCTTCTGCTGCTAAGTGGTTTACTATCACCTTCAGAGCAATTGTTTCTCAGTTTCTTCCTTTCAGATAATCAGCTGTGGAGAGACATTCAGTATTGTTGGGACTGATGATAATAAGATTCTCTTCTGGGGCACCAAGTATAAGTCAATACAATCTCCAAACCCATCAGTTATGACCACGCCATCTCAGACAGCTACAAATGTAACTGAAGATGCTATCTGCCCAAAATCACCACACCCTGTAGAAAATGAGGAGCCCATTACTGGGACTGTGAGCCATAACGACAGTAAGAAACATCCTGAAAATGCAAAGCAGCTTGTTGGAATCAGTGCGGTAATGGAAAGAAACCAATTCAGAGAGGATGAACTAGATGCACCAGGATCGCCGTTACTAACCTCCAAAGCACAGGTTATGTTGTTTGTACAACTCTCTGAATGTATCTAGCTGACATTATACTCCAGGCATGTATCATATGTGATTCTTTGACTGCATGTCACAGCTCTTTAAATGGATATTTCATTCAATTTCAGGGAATTAGGGTCATAATGATGTTACTGAGGAGGCAGTTCATAGCCAGCACTAACACTGCAGCGACATGAGTTCAAATTCCACTAAAGCTGCTGGGAACAATTAAATTCAATTAATAATAAAATGCAAATCTTATTAACAGTCATGATAAAACTACTGGATTTTCATTTTAAAAACATTCAATTTACTGATATCCTTCAAGAAGTAATTCTGTTGTCCTTGTCTTTTCTAGCTTTCATGTGATTCCAGACACTCAGTGATGTGGTTGACTGTTAACTGCCCTCTAAAATGGTCTAACAAGTTACTCAGTTCAAGAATAATTAGAATGGGCAACAGGTGTTGACTTTACTAACAATGCTAATATCCCAAGACGAATATTTTTTAAAAACTCAATGTGTTGACTCAATCTCACTCTAAAGCAATAAAGCCTGTTGCTTAAACATTATCATGCTGATAAAGTGATGTTGGTGTTTGATTGCAGAAAAACGTTAATTGCTCCAAACAAGATTCTTTGGGGGGAAACCAGACATATAGCGGTATGACATCAGTTAAAGGTAAAAGAAAGTCTTTGGGAAGTAATTTGTTGACTACAATGTGACTAGGAATTGTTGATTTAAGCTGTTGTTGGTTGTGAGCACAAACTGGGTTTAGTTTTTCCTTATGGTTGTTATCATATTCAGGTTTTCTTCAGAAAAGTAGCCATGTTAAATAGACAAGCAGCTTCGGGTTAAAATATATGGAAGTTTTGATGCTGTGAAAAATTACTGAAATGTATATTTTGCTACCCTGCTATTGTTGATCTGTATTCAGTGTGATTGTTCCTTGTCATTGTAAAATGAATTCATGCTGACATACAGTCAGAGTTCCATATGATACATTAAGTGATTTATACTCTCAATTGTATAAAATTAGGCACATTCACTATAAAATCGTGACAGGAATAGTTGCTGGAAGTTTTGAGGCTGCAAATATTGTGGTTGAACAGATAATTTTACAATAATCACATTCTTGATGCCCTGTAATACAAATTTTGTTTATTGAAAATCTCCTGAATGCAACCTGCAGTGATCCATTATAAAGTATGAGCCAAGTGTCCACTCTGTTGCATGACTTGCTGATAAAAATAAGGTGAGTAAAGTCCCTATACTCCCAGAGGGCCATAGGGCTGCTGTCTCATCAGACACAAATGACTGTTGCTGAGTTTAACCTGAGATACCACACCTTCAAGCAAGGACTTTTATGGTTATCTCAGCTGGTGGGGGTATTGAACCAGCCAACTGGTATCATGCTGCATTGCAAACCAACCATTCAAGCTAACTGACCCCTATCGCTAAATGCAACATCCTCAATCCTCAGCTAAGTTTCACTGACTAAGGCTTATGACACTTTATTAATTTATATTTGTCTACACTCACTTCAATGTTTCCCTTCTCACCTCCCCAACCAAAGTGTACCTAAAATGGTTCAGGATGATACCATGCATCTCCTTACATTATATTCAAACAGTCAGCCTTGTAAAATATGCAATAAGTACAAAATAAAAACTGCAGGAGCTGCAGATGCTGTAAATCCGGAACAGAAACAGAAATTGCTGGAAAAGCTCAGCAGTTCTGAGGAAGGGTTACTGGACTCGAAACATGCACTCTGATTTCTCTTCATAGATGCTGCCAGACCTGCTGATTTTCCAGCAATTTCTATTTTTGTTTCTCAGGCAGTACAATTTTGGTCTCTCTCTCTCTTTTTGGAAGGGTCACTGGACCCGAAACGTTAACTCTTTATTCTTTCGGTTTTTAAACCCGTTTATAGTCCCCACAAAGTTGGGTGATCTATCTTTAAATTGAACTTGGAATGAAACTGTAGAATTGTAGTCACAGCAACTGGTTCCAAATGACTTTCATCACTACCAAGGTGATGATTAGATTCTTACTTAAAGTGCTGTGAATTTAGTGTTAATGAGGAATGTAATTACTGCTCTAGATCAAACAGAAGCCAGCAGTGGGAGCTGTAAATCAGAATGCAAGGATACCCAGGAATCCAGCAGCATGAAAGCAAACTCCTTTGGGAGTGAGAGTAACTTTCAGGACCAAGAAAGCAGCCAACAACTAATCCCAGTTCCTATCATCAGCTTGAAAGAAGTTCTGGAGGACCACCCTGATGTGCATGCTTTTCTTCGAAATATTATTTGTAATAAGGAGAGCATCTATGTCCTGGTGGAGAACACTGATCCACCATGCTACAGGCATACAAAGAGATATCGCAGCCTTCGCAAACGTGGAAACCGTGAGGATCCAGGACTAAAGCAAGGGCGCATTCTTCAATATTCCCATTCCAGTAACGAAGCTGGTGATGAGTACACAAGCTCGGAGATGTCTGAGTTAGAGACCAGTCGGTTTGTCCCAACATGGATAAGAAATGAACTCAATGAGGCAACATCCCTTGAAGCAGCCAGCACTGAAAAGGGCAGTGAAACAGACACTGTCACGGCCTTGGCTAGCAGAAATGTAACAGGTGCGCAGTGTTTAGAGAGTCCAGTGACAACGGTGAGCAAAACCAGCTCAGAAGAGGCAAACGTACAAGTCACGAAGGAGGTGTTTGGAGGGGCAAAAAAGACAAGTGGGAACCGCGATGGAGAGAAACATGGCCATACATCCACATCAGGCAGCTCTGAAGGGCAGTTGATGCCAAGCAAACAGAAGATCACCAGGAATATTGACAAACACAGGGAACCTGGTAAGATCTCGAGCAGGATTAAACAAGTATTTAACAGTGGCTTATATTTTGAGCTATTGCTACATACCCAGTTTGTCGCCAGTTTGAATAGTTTTTTTTAACAATTAACAACAACATTTTCAAACACACCCAAATCTAATCAGCGATTTATAGGCTATACCAGTAGTCTGATTGGCAGAATCACCGAATTGTTGTAGTTCAGACAAAGTCTGTTCAGCCCAACATATTTCCACCAGCTCTCAGAATAAGCATTATGACTTGGTGCCATTCTGCTGCATACTTCCCCAACCCTGTGCAGCGCTTCTATTAAAATAATCATCTAATACTCTCTTGTATCTAGAAATATAACCAATATCCAGACTGGAAAACTGATTAACGAGCAAAACTATCTCGAGGGACTCTGCACTACCTCCCTGGCTGTCTTGTACAGCCTGGTAGTCACCCATCCCCTAATTATTAATGAAATCAGGGATTCTGGAGATAAAATAGAAAAAGAGGAGTTGCAGATTATAAGATCAGCCACAATCTAGTTGAATAATACAACAGACTTGATGAACTGAATGGCCTACTTCTGTTGCTATGTCTTCTGGTTTAATGCCTGCAGGTCCTTATCCATCAGTGTGATGACCTCCCTGAATGTGCTATCCAGATTTATCCCTTTTTTATTTATTTATGGGATGTCAGAGTCTCTGGCTCAGCCAGCATTCGGACTCACTCCTTAATAAGCTAACTGCAGACTGATAATTTGTATACCCCTGCTTAAGGCCCTTAGTTCCTGTAAACCGTAACTTTCAGTTAAATGTTAAATTAAATTTAAATTTAAACACGTTTAAATATTTGGACATTAAAGACTGAGATTCCCTCAACTCCCCAAACTCACAGCACTCTGTCCAAAATGAGCTCTGGGTTAAGTTGCACAGGGATGCTACATTTATAGGTTTTGAACGAAAGAGCAAAAGTGAAGGATTCAAATTAGTCAGTCTCAGAAACTCAAGGGACTTGCCATTAATATACATCAATAATAAATAGATCAAATTCGGATCAAAGCTTGATGGCAGCTTTCTGTAACAGCCCCTTTGTTTCTATGAGTTGGAATTGAGCTAAAGTTGACAACTCACCCAATCCATGATTGTTCAGGCCGTGGAGAGGGAAGCTCTTTATTCCAACATTCTGGTTGGACCGGAGCCTGATCAGAGAGGAATTGTTATCCTCTTTTCAATGGGAGAACATTTTTTTAATTGTAAAACCTAGATGAAGGATCAAGACCTGTGCTGAGTGACAGAAGCTGAAGTATTAATGTCAATGAGACTGATAGCACAATAGGCCTTTTCTCTCCCCTGACAGCATTGAGGGCTTCTGAAGTGAAATTAGTTGGGTCTGTTTTTAAGTGAACTGCACAAGACTGTTCCTCATCCAGTCCTAACTGACACTAGATCTATTGGTGTGGTTTCCTGCAACTAGTGGAAAAAATCTCAAGGGGAACACATCTGTATTGGCAAAAAGTATTTTGTTTGTGAGCATGCAATGCCATGAATAATGTTTTGGTAAGACAACAATAACAAAAACAGCTGCAAAGAAAGAGAATATTTTCTGACTGTCAGACAGACAGGAAGAAGTCTGACCCAACTTTGAAAATCTATGGACTGTCGATTCCTCAGAGATGCTTGATATGAGTAGTGGAAATGTCACACTGATACAGTAAGGAGTGTTTTCAGAAGCTAGATTCGTGGATTTTGCTGAAATAGTGTTTAAAAAGAACTTCATTTTGAATCCTGTCCATGGTGTGCTTAACTCTAGCATCCAAAAATGTCCTGATCCCCAAAATGGCATTTCTCCCTGGGTAAAACAGAATAAAAAGAGTAAAAGTAGCAGCTGTTCCTTGGGAATCTCTGGGGGTCAATGCTTGGTGATGATGTAAAGGTTCTTCCCATGCCTGTAAACTGCATCCAGGTCTGTGAGAGGGCATGAAACATATTGTGTATCACAGATGGACATTGTGAGAAGTTCTGGGATTATTGACATTTCTGATCGGCCTCCAGGGACAAGGACCTTACAGAGCAAATGTCAGATGAGGTTCTTTGTGTTTAATAACCATGTTTTAAAAGCCCTGCTCTTAAATTCTAACCTCGCCAGGAGCCACTGTGACCTTGCATGTTTTGAGACATATGACAGGAAGGAGGCTATTGCAGGTTTTATGATGAGCATGAGAGTACCGATACATCATAAGTTTGTGCGAGGGAGATTCCTATAGCCACTGTTGTAACAGAGATACCACAAACGTAGTGTGAAGATTTCCTAAATCCATTGCTCCTAGCACCATCCTGAATGTGATTGCGATTTCCTTACAAACAGCCAGTAGACGAAACCTTCCCTGTTTTGTCTTTCATATATAATGTAGGTCACAAGCAAAGGATAAGACCCTGAAATTCCAAAAGGGCTTCAATTGCTGCAAAGCAATTTTGAACATCCTGAGGTCACGAAAGGTGCTGCATAATATTCTTTGCTTCAGTTTGATAATTTTACAATCACTCACCCAAGAAATTAACATACTCCCCATAAATAATTACAACGCCTTTATTGTAATCTCTAATGCCATTTTCTGGCTGCCGTTCATGTTGAAAATAATGTCAAAGACAGTCATTTCAGACATAAGCATGAGTAGTTAGAATATTTCTCACATGGTGTTCACTAACTAATACCCACTGGAATTTGTGTTTTTAACGAGACGGCAAGAACTGAATTCAGTTCACTCAACTCTTATTTTTTTAATGGTATTCACAAAGTGATTCAACCGAGGTCATTGAATTTGTGTTTGTTATGACAGAGATACTGGCTGTGCTTTGAACGCACAGCCTGATGTCTACCCAAAAGTTTAAGGTGTTACTGTGTAATGTGTTCCAGCTCTCCGGCTGAGAATTCATCGCACTTCTTTTGAACCCATTGTATAAACGCAGCCAGCCCCTGTTTCAAATTATTACAGACTGCAGTTACAGTCCACTCAGTCTATTGAAAAACACATGGAAGAACTTGTTACAACCTGTCTTTGTTTCATTGTTGTCCTCAGTACAAGATTTTGTGGCATCCACAAGTCAGTGCAGGCATTATCGGACAGAAATGGACATGGGCTTCCTCTCTTCTCCGGTATGTAGCTAGAATCCAAAATGATTCTTAAGGTCCCTCTTTTGAAATAGCTCACATTTGCAAGCAGTACTGTTGGCATATTTTGAAAACTTTTAAGCAATGGTACATCGTGCAGCTGTTTATGTGGTAATAGTATTTCAAATTACATTTCATGTCAAATGTTTCAAAATAATTTTCATGTGTAAACTATATAACACCAGTTAGCATGTGAAATTCAGTTGTGAACAGTTTTTGGACAAGGCTGATCTGTATGTGCTGTGTCTGAAAACACACAGACACACATTGTGGCCTGGCTGACCAGGCCTCCAACCAAATACCAATGGCCTTTAATGGCTGGGTGCTTATGGTTGAATGTTATTTTCCAAAGATGTTTCTGCTTGGACAATAAATGCTGTTGGTATTCTGCCACTCTAGAATTGGAGATAGTTGGACTGATTTTATGAATGAACTCATAGGAGGGTGCCTCACCTGGTGAGACCCCATGTTAGAATAATAATTTACAGCACAATCGGTGGTTGTTCAGCCCATCAAGCCTACACTGGCCCTCTGTAAAAGCAATGTCTCACTCCACAGCCCTGGTAGTTTTTTTTTCTCTTTCTGGTGCTTTGCAATCCTGATCAAAAACCATAATGGAATCTATGTCCAACCTCCGTTTGAGCAGTGGATTCCAGATCTTAACCACTTATTGAGGAAAGTCGCCATTTTCCGCACAGATTATAAGACTGCTATGTCATTAGAAAGAGACAACAGGTGGTGTTTTAACATGACGGCCACCACGTCTCAGGTAAGGGGAGAGGATGAGAATGGAAGTCCTTCATGGTAACCTCAGCCAGTGCAGGGAATTAAGGAGTGACGTCACTCTGTGTTGTAGACTGACTCTCCAGCCAACTGAGCTAACTGATATCCCCTCATTGGGTATGAAGTGGCTATATTGCGAAATTACATATTCCTGTTTTCCCAATACGTTTTCCCGCTGCATCTGATTCCATGCCACAAGTGACACTTCTGTAAAGCATGCTCTTAATACTGTTAAGACCCACAGACAATTATAACCTTTAAAAATAAACACAAACTCTCAGCCTTGTCGAGATTTCATGTTTTAAGGCATTTACTGTAATAGCAAACTGAAAGCACTCCTGACAGAACATTATTTTTATAGGCATTTTGCACTTAAATTACAGAAAGGAACATTCCACTTTAATACACACACTGCACTCACTACAGAACTACAGCTTTTTAACGGAAAACAAATCACAGCAGCTTCTGATGGGTTTGCATTTTCCCTTTCCAAAGAGTAGTAACTTCATTGACCATCTCCAGGCATTTCCTTTAGTTTTTGGAGAGTTTTCCTAAATCCATTACAAGCAGTAAAGCATGTCCCAATAATTCGTCCCCTCTAGCAAAGCCACAACAAATCTTCCAGAATCCTGAAATAATGGCAGCTGTTTACCTCTTTGTCTAGACTCCTGCAGCTGGCTGTGGTGTTTTACAAAGCAGATCAGCTTTTTCTCTGGCTGTTTGCGATATATTTTGATTTGGAGGGGCAGTCTGTAACCTGATCTCAGAAATGGCTACCTCTGCATTTTCCCTCAAGGCAACATGGAACACATTAGCCTTGCACCCATGTAGACATGCTGATTAGTTATTCTTAACCACAACTGTCTTTCTTTTTATTTATTTATTCATTCATGGGATGAGGGCATTGCTGGCTAAGCTAGCATTTATTGTCCAGAGGGCAGTTAAAAGTCAACCACATTGTAATGGGTCTAGAGTCACATGTAGGCCAGACCAGGTAAGGATGGCAGTTTCCTCCCCTAAAGGACATTAGTGAACCAGATTTTTTTTTGCAACAATCGATTAATGGTCATCATTAGACTATTTAATTCCACATGTTTATTGAATTCAAATTCCACTATATGCCATGGCAGGGTTCAAACTCAGGTCTCTGGATTAACAGTTTAGCGATAATACCACTAGACCATTGCCTCCATTCATGTTAGGATTAAATGCGTAGGCAGTTTACAACTTAGCTGTTTACAACTCAAAACCTTCAGCAAATTTCTGGGACTTTAGGAGACTCAGAGTCCACTCATTGTGACTCTGTCATTATCTTCAACCATGAACACTTTGTATTGTATCACCCCAGTAACAAATATGGGTCTCCTTTTGATCTTTAACCACCTGAGGCCTGTAGTCAAGAAAACCACAGAAATGGGCCACATGATACCTTCCATTTTACCTTAAGTTGAAGACACAGATCCAAAGATAACTGTATTATAAACCTCATAATCACTCTAGTTGAACTTTTTTCCTTGTGCTGTCATGTTGTTAATGTGTGTTTTTCTTAATGGAACAATCCCCAATAATGTTTTGATTGAATTGTTAGCCAGAAATGGATGAATTTGGCTAATGAGGCCCATTTCCATAGACAGTCTTGCTTGGATGATAATTAGGAAAATATCAATGAGACCTGAAAGAAGGAAGTCATAGTTTGAGGGTGGCCTTGTTCCTGTTGAAACAACCCAAATTTGGACTGCAACAGCCAAAATATCTGTCACATTCACAAGGTGTTACTATACAGAATCCTCAATATTGTGTTTGTTTTGTGCACATTTTTCACCATCAAATAAACAGGATTGACAAGATTCTATAACCATACAATTCAGGTTACCTTTCAATGCACTGACCTGAAGCCAGTTTATTAGGATGATGATGTTTGACTAACTTCAAGTAGTTTTAAAGCCCAGTGATAAATGGTGAATCTTCCTGTTCTGTAGAATTTACATTGTTCATAGTACCAGTGCTTGTCAGGCACAAACAATACAGTTGCCTCAAAGCCTCCAAATAAAATCACAAACACTTGGAACATGTCATTGCCTCATTCACATCTCATTCACAAAGCTCTTTCCAAACTCTTAAGCCCTTTTATATCCTATGCTCAGCGTGAGAAACTTCACCATTATCTTAGAAAGATTAATCTTGCCTTTAGTTGCCCAAGTTTCAACATTAGTAGAAAGTCTTAGAACTTATCAATTACCAAATCAGATTGAATTGTACAGCAAAAAAAAATCAAATATAACTCCTTAGATTACTTGAGGATGAGCAACAAACACAGAATTTTACTGTGTTTGACACAGAAGGGATGGTGAACATTACTAGTTAACACAGCATTATTAAACTTTACTGGCCATCACAATGTTGTCTTTCTATCTATACGTAGAGCTCCACCAATCCAGTCACAGTTTGTGGCAGGAATGGCTCTGAATCTCCTTGGAAATCAGGAATGCTGAGAACTGCAGGAGCTGGAAACCAGAGATCACCTAATAGACTACGTCTGGGCAGAGGACACACCAAGTGTCGAGGTATGATGATGATGGAGATTATTGTTCCATTGAAGAGGCAAAGATTGAAGTAGGGACTTGAACATTGAGATATGAAAATTTTAGCCATCAGAGATCTGTAACTGCATTTAATCAAACATGCCCTTATAGACAAGATTTTTAATTTAAGCCATGTTGATTTGTTGCTGTCAATCTCAAAGGGCTTATCTTTGATGGCTTCATAAGGCATAACATGATTGTTATAGACAGTGATGATGCTTTATGAACTGCTTAAGGACAGCAGGTTTATATCAGTATCATTTATTGCTCATCAGTGAATTTTGAGTTTCTTCAGTTGTTTGTGTGTGTTTTTATTACCTTGTACCATGAAAAAATAGTTTAATTTGGTCAGTGTAAGGTGCTTTTGAAAACTAAATTCCTCATTCTCAGTGATGGCACCACTTTTTAGTAAGGAAAAAAAGATCAACAGGGATCACATGGTTTTAGCTGGATCAGATATGATTAATGAGCCGTAAATAAATATGCAGAGAGAATAATTAGTAACCTTTAGGCTGAGTTCTGGTTTTTAAGATCATTTCAACTATAACCCAGGAGTACTGAAGGCAATTGAAGTGCTATACTTGAGTCTGATTACTTAGCATCAAACAGAACCAGACCTAGAACTTGCGATCTATATAAGTTAGTACTATAGCAAATAATATTCCTACTCACTTGCACAATTTCCTTGGGGATTCCTCAGTCAATATATAACAGCAATAAATCCCAAAGTTCAATGAAAAATCCAAATTACTTTTATGTGCTAATTAATTCAGAGATTTCTATTTAACATGCCGCTCCTTCGCAATTTCAATCTGTAACTTGGGGCTGTCTTTCCATTAAATACCATACCCTGCGAAAGTTGGCAGCCAGACCCCAGGGCCTGCTTGTTGTGAAATCACATTTAGCATTAGGGGTGGCTCACCCTGGCACTGATGCTGTCAGAAGTCTGCTCCACCATTCAATGAGATCATGGTTGATCTGATAATCCTAACTTCCTTGCAATGAGTATGTAGAAAACCAGAATGTGGAAACTGGATTCTAGTTTAGTTTCTTCCACCTTTCCCTCGGTTTTCCATTTGTTAGCCAGGTATCAATTCCAAATAACCCTCTTCAGCAACAAAGAAACTGTGAGGAATTGGCTGCAAAGCCATCTCCATTTCCTGCTATTTTGTTCATCCCTCCACTACCACCACCATCACCATTCCATCACCTTTGGGTTTTGGCTGCAGTCATTTACCTGTAGCTATTATTTCATGGCATGTTTGGCAATACTGGCTAGGCCAGTATTTATTATTCTCACATCGCCTTTGAGAGGGTGGTATTGAGCCAACCTCTACTGTTAGAGAGGGATTCCAGAATTCTGATCCAGTGACTATGAAGGAATGGTGATATGGTTCCACATCAGCATGGTGTGTGGCTTGGAGAGGGACCTACCAAGTGGCAGAGTTCCAATTCATTTGTTCCCCTTGTCCATTTGAGTGGTAGGGGTCTTGAGTTTGAAACATGCTGTAGAAGAAACTTTGTTGAGTTGCTGCAATGCATTTTGTAGGTGGTATACACTGCTATCACTGTGCATTGATAGTGGAGGAAGTGAATATTGAAGGTGGAGGATGTGGTGCCAATTAATTGAACGGCCTCGTCCTGGATAGTGCCAAGCTTCTTAAGTGATGTAGAAGCTGCACTCAACCAGGCAAGTGGACAATATTCCACCACACTCCTGACATGTGTCTTGCAGATGGTGAACCCTCTTAGGGGAATCAGGAAGTGAGTTACTCATTGCAGAGTTCCCAGTCTCAAACATGCACTTGTAGCTATTGTATCTATGTGGCTGGTCCAGTTCAATTTCTGGTCAATCATGACCCCAATGTTGTGTGAAAGCTGTTGCTGAATCATGTAGAATAGATAGAAGCCATTCAATCCATTGTGTTTGTACTTGCCTTTTGAAAGAGTTATCCAATTAGATTAGTTCCCTTCCTGTTTCTGTATAGCCCTGCAAATGTCATTTGTTTCCAATATCTGTCCTATGCTTTTCGATTTGTTATTGTTGAATCTGCTTCAACTACCTTTTCAGGCAGCATATTCCAGATTAAAAACTCAATGTAAGACAAAATATTTCCTCATCCCTCCTCTGGTTTTTATGCCAATTATTTTAAATTGGGCTGTCCAGGCAGTGAGAACAGTATCTCCCTACCTGCAATATCAGAACCCCTCATAGTTTTGATCTTTTCAATTAAATTCCACCCCCACCCCCCAACCTTCTCCTCTCTAACAGTATTTTTCTTTACCTAGCTACCTGGATGAATGCAGAAATATCTGCTGTGAAAAGCTCCAAGTACTATCACCGTCCTGCTCTGCCCACGTCACCTCTTTCAAAGAACAAGGTTTGGTCATTTCCAGCCTCATCATGTTGATACCAGTTCAGTTTAATTAGCTTCAGGTCAAAGAAAATGAGCTCCTCTCCTAATGTCCTCCACCAAATTACACTTTAATTGTAATTTAATTGAATGAAATTTGCATATGTGTGAAGTCTTAATAGAATATTAATTCAGCAAAGTGTATTTCAATCCCCTTTGTTAAAGGGATGTTATTTTTAAAAGGCCTGTGACAGTCATGTGAATAGCACTGTGCTATCTGTTCGAAACATAATTATCCTGACAGCTGCAAACCCAGTGATTGCCCTCATTTGATCCAGCCTGAGATCAGAACCTGCGCTGCATGAATAGTTCATTAGTGAGTGCTCGAAGCAATGGAATCAATGTTTACCAGGTCGTCATTTCGTGGGATCCAAACATAGCTCATGGCCCCTTTACAGTGCAGCGACATCTCTGACAGCAACACTGATATCTTACCTTGTCGGCACCTTTACTGAGGGTAGAGGAGAAATACCTCAACTGCTGCCTCTCTACAGAGGCGGCTAAACCACTGTCAGCAAACACAAACGAATGTTCTCGTTACTTCTCAGAATGTGAGAAAAGCCTCATTCAACATAATGGCGAGAGAGTGCTGCGCCGTTTGTAGTATCATCTTTAGCTTGAGCAACAGACCCAGGCTCTGTTTGCTCTTTCAGAAAGATGTAAAAGGTCCTACGGCATGATTCAAAGAACAGAAGAATTTTCTTCATGTCCTGAGTAATATTTATCCCTCAAACAACACTATTAACACGGGATAATGCCACTTTGTGGCAGATTGATGTGCGTGAAATGGCCAGTACATTTTCTGTATAACATCCGTGTTATAAACATTTTACAAAAGGTGCTATATAAATGTAGATCTTTCAAACCTTTCTTTTAGTGCTCTGCCCTGGTTCTACTGAGAATGTGGTAGTAGGATGTAATTCCTTTTGCTTAGCAATTATGACTGAACACCTCTGGAATACTTCAGAACTTAACCTGAACTGAGACTGAAGTGAAAAGCAGGCAAATCCAGTTAAAGGTGTCAGCTTTACTGGACACCTTTGGTTGTCATTTTATTCTGGTACCAGCCAACATGTTTTTAATCCACTGGCACTCAGAGGAGCTGGCACGCATTTCCTTACATGTGGGTAATCCTCTGATTGTTGTACTGTACAGATCTACCAGGCAAAGGTTGGAAAATGAACATTGCTTTATTAAACTCAGGCACGTTCAAAGTCGTGTCTCTCATCATTGCTGCTGACACGACTGTAAATAGTTTCGCAATTATCTCTCATATGGAGTGGTGCAGGGATAATATGAATTGAAATTCTGACAGTAAGTCACAAAACGATTTGGGATTTAAATATAACGTTTAGAATAGGCAGTTGAGCAATAATTCCTGTTCTCTCTCCTTAATAGGTTGCTGAATTGGCCAGAGAGGCGAAGGGAAAAAAGCGGATTGAAGGCAGAATAGAGCCACAAGAGGCAAATCATAATAGTCTGCACCTACTGGAGGAACAGCAGCGACTTGCACTGGTATGACTATCAATTTTCTGTCACAGGTTCAAAGTTTGATGCCACTAACATTGGGACCGTGTGCAGACTGGGACTGCAGTTCTGGGGATCTGGGTTCAAATCCCACCCTGTCAGATAGTGGAGTTTGAATTCAATAAATATCTGGAATTAAGAATCGAATGGCGACCGGGAATCCATTGACAATTGTCGGAAAAACCCATCTGGTTTGCTAGTGTCCTTTAGGAATGGAAACTGCCATCTTTCCATAGTCTGACCTACGTGACTCCAGACCCACAGCAATGTGGTTGTTGCCCTCTGGGCAATTAGGGATGGGCAATAAATGCTGGCCTAGCCAGCATCGCTCTCATTCTGAGAATGAATAAAACAAAAGATTCTATGAAGAGTTACAAACCATCCCTGGCTGAAACTTCTCCACGTTTTATGAATCCAGGCAAGATGTCCTCAAAATAGTTAGCTTGCAGGTCAGGAGGGATTAACTGGCTCCCATTCTTATTTCAACCTCTCTCTCATGGTTAATTTAAATGTATCCCCTTCCCTTGTGGATATTTTTTTTCCAATCCACGGATATTTATGTTTTAAAAGGAAGCAAATTAACTAGGCTTTCTTGAATTAAAGTAAGGGGGGGTGGTGGGGTTCAACTACTAAACATGAGAAAATGTAATAAAATGTGACAAAATGTGACACCAACATTCACACAGATAGGAAATGTGTATGCAGTGAAAAGTTACCAGCTAAAAAGATACATGAGTCAGACTTTGGGTTCCGTGAGGAGTGGGTGGTAGAATGTTGTGACTGTTAAGTTGGATGGCATTGGTACAGTGAAACGGTTGGGTTTTGTGATCCTTGGCTGTGCAAGTTAGTTGTCAAGCTTTTGTCCTCCTTCCATTTCAATGGTGATTTCACTGGCTCCCAACACTCAGAGCGAGAGAGAGGCTTTCTTTATCTGCAGCGCAGGGATGTCCAATAGCTGTTGCCAAACTGGGACTTTCAATTTCAGCTCAGTAACACACTGATTCCAGGGCTGCAGGGATTATTTTTAACCCCTGTTCTTATGTACTTCTGAAAGGGTAAAAGGCAAATATGTACTTTGACCTCATTCCAGGCTGAGATAATAATCCACTGGAGATGGCATTCCTGCTGAAACCGATAATCAGTTCTTGCCTTGCATCACTACCTCTTTAATTCTGTGTTTGAAGTTTCCCTGACACTCTACAGGTGTGACGTTCCATAGGTTCACACAGAGATTTTCAGCAATCAGTGAATTCCATTCTGTGAATTTGCAATATCAGCAATTCTTGATGTTTAGGTCCATTTATTAAAGAAAAAATTTGTGTTGTCAAAAGTTCAAGTGCATGTAAGTATTTTATGATTAGGATCAGCTGTCATGACATGAGATATGACAGAATTGTACTGGAGGTGATTCTTTTGAACGTTGCTGTGGGGAGTCAATTGGTAGCTTTTAATATAAAGAAGCCAACCTGTACCACTGCCCTTCAACTCTCTTCTCCAGTTTACTTTGACCACTACCAGTGAAGAAAAACCAATTTGTGTTCTCGTCAAAGGTGTTGACTAACACTGAACTGTGGTTCTTCTGTAGCTGACAGTCGCCTAGTGACTCATTCAATTGTGAGTCTGGTGATACCTTAAGAATTCTGTTCTTATTTGAGGTGCAAGCTTTTCACTAGTAGGTAAAGGGAGCCCAAGGATGCTGAGGAGAACATTTGTATACAAACTGCTGACAAAGTGAAAACCACCTCATTCAATTCAGACTGGGCCTTGCATTTTGTATGGCTCAATATCACATTTGGACATGAATGTATCAGCGAAAGTGCATTAGAAAAACTGCAGCAACTGCAAACATATTGCATCGCCCACAATATTCCAAAGCACTTGGCATTCAATGGGTTATTTTGCTACTATTATGATTGCCTTGAAATCAGCAAGACAAAATAACCAGATTTGCTGAATTCCCCAAATGAAATAACCAATGGAAAAGATTTCACTGTTTTTATAAGTTTTACATTAACTAAATCAACATAAATATCAATTAGCAGGCAAATCATGTTCAATATAATTGATAAATGGCATATTAAATAGCAGACACAAAAAAGGTAGATTTATCTGGCAGCCTACTCAGCATAAATGGCACCAATCTCAGTCATTAGGTTCTTAAGAGACTGAAATCCTACTTAAGGAAGATTAGCTGTTTTCCTTAAGCATCAAATCTCATCTGACAGCGGTTCCCAATCAAGCTATGTACCACATAGAGTCATATACAGAATAGAAACAGACCCTTCGGTCTAATTCTTCCATGCTGACCAAGTATCCCAATCTGACCTGGTCCCATTTGCCACCATTTGGCCCATATCCCTCTAAACCCTTCCTATTCATATACCCATCCATATGCCTTTTAAATATTATAATTGTACCAGGCTCCACCACTTCCTCTGGCATCTCATTCCATACATGCACCACCCTCTGTGTGAAAATGTTGCCCCTTAGGTCCCTTTTAAATCTGTCCCTTCTCATCTTAAACCTATGCCCTACAGTTTTGGATTCCCCTACCCTGGGGAAAAGAGCTTGACTATTCACCCTATCCATGTCCCTCATGATTCTATAAGCTTCTTTAAGGTCACCCCTCTGCCTCCAATGCTCCAGGGAAAATATCCCCAACCTATTCAGCCTCTCCCTATAGCTCAAACCCTTCAACCCAGGCAACATCCTTGTAAATCTTTTCTGAACCCTTTCAAGTTTCACAACATCCTCCCTATAGCAGGGAGACCAAAATTGCACGCAATATTCCAAAAGTGGCCTAACCAATGTCCTGTACAGCTGCAATATGACCTCCCAACTCCAATAGTCAATGACCTGACCAACAAAGGCAAGCTCCATACCGAATGCTTTCTATTCCGTCTATCTGCCACTCCACTTTCAAGGAACTGTTAATCTGCACTCAATGGTCTCTTCATTCAGCAACACTCCCCAGGACCTTACCATTAAGTGTATAAGTCCTGCCCTGATTTGCCCGACCAAAATGTAGGACTCCCATTTATCTAGATTAAACTCCATCTGCCAGTCCTCGGTCCATTGTCTCCTCGGCACATCTGATCAAGGTCCCATTGTACTCTGAGGTAACCTTCTTCACTGTCCACTACACCACCAAGTTTGCTGTCATCTGCAAATTTATTTACCATACCTCCTATATTCACATCCAAATCATTTATATAAGTGACAAAAGGGCAGCACGGTGTCTCAGTGCACTGCTGCCTCATAGCACCAGGGACCCGGGTTTGATTCCACCCTCGGGCAACTAACTGTGTGGAGTTTGCACATTCTCCTCATGTCTACGTGGGTTTCCTCTGGGTGCTCTAGTTTCCTCCCACAGTCTAAAGATGTATAGGTTAGGGTGGATTGGCCATGCTAAATTGCTCATAGTATTCAGGGATATGTAGGTTAGGTGGGGTATAGGGGTATAGGGGGATGGGTCTGGGTGGGATGCTGTGAGGGTCAGTGTGGACTTGTTGGGCTGAAGGGCCTGGTTCCACAGTGTAGGGATTCTATGATCTATGAAAAAGCAGTGGACCCAGCATCGATCCTCGTGGCACACTGCTGGTCACAGGCCGCCAATCGGATAAGCAATTCTCCACCACCACCCTCTGTTTCCTACCTCCAAGCCAATTCTGTATCCAAATGGCTAGTTCTCCATGTATTCCATGTGATCTAACTTTCCTAGACAGTCTACCATGAGGAACCTTGTCAAACATCTGACTGAAGTCCACATAGACAATGTCCACCACTCTGCCTTCATCAATTCTCTTCTTCACGTCTTCACAAAACTCAATCAAGTTAGTGAGATACAATTTCCCATGCACAAAGCCATGTTGACTAATCCTAATTAGTCCTTACCTTTCCAAATACATGTAAATCCTGTCCCTCAGAGTCCCCTCCAATAACCTGCCCACCACTGATGTCAGCATGATCAGTCTAGAGTTCCCATGCACAATCTTCAATGAAAAGGGGACACTTTAGAACCTTCTCAACTCTGTTCATGTCAGTCTTGAGTCTGGATCTACCAGAATTTGACCATCAATAATGACTGTAGTGCTCAGTGTGACCATTCTGTCTCTTGGTTATTTTTCTTACCGCTTAATTCTGGATCCAGTCTTTGGGCTTGCCTTTTTCAATTGTGTCACCACCAATTCCCTCACAAACTGAATCACGTAGGTTACATTCTTGCCCAGTTGGCGTCATGTGGGAAGAGGTGTTTGTCCTTCTGGCAGATGTTTGGAGTTCAGTGATGACCATGCACCTAGCGCTCAGACTTTGTTGTCCTCTGTGGCTAGGTCCTCAACTCAGCTGCGTGCTCAAGGCTTCCTGAGACCCCTGACCCTGCTGTACTTTGGCTGACACAGCCTACTCCAACTATGAGCCCGCTCCATCTACATTTCAGTCTCCATGGGCCTACTCTGCTGCCTCTTCCAAACTTCCAGCATCTCCATCCCTCCCACGCTGCTCACCTATCTGCTACAAACCACAGATTTTATCACAATGTGCAGTCATATTTGTCTTTGTAGACAAACATTTTGTATACAGCAAGATTCCACAAGCAACAATAGAATGAATAATCAAGTTGATTTGTTTTTGCTGTAATTAGTTATGGGAGAAGTATTGGCCAGCACACCACAAGAATTCTCTCTTCTTCAAGTAGGACATGGATTCCATACCAGCAAGATTGGACTTTTATCTAACAATCCATCCAAAGTCTGATGCCTCTGGCAATACAGCATTCTCTTAGACCTGCACATAAGATAAAGGCCAGGACTATGTGTGTACGGATGAGGGCATTTGTCATCAACCCACAAGATACTGACCCAGGCAAATATTTAGGCTAAACTATGAAGATAGGGAGTGCAGATAACCAGGGCAAGGCACCAGTTGAACCTAAGTCTGCAAATACTGGAGTCCCTTGTAATGGGCTCAAATGATTTGGAAAATTAAAG